TATTCCACTTTTCTGCTGATGACAATCAGTCCACTGATGATTCTGCCTTAGATTGTTTAAGCTCCTCTCTCTTTTTTGGCCTACAATTTTTACATATGCGTATACCATTATATTCCTCCAAGTCTATATAGTAATTGAACAATATAATTGGAAGCAATGCTGATTTTACCTTTTTGTAGTTCCTTGTACTAACGAGAAGTAGTTTTACAAATACAGGCATGTTAGATTATTTCTCAAAACTGTAGTTCTAATCTGACAATATTTGTAGAAGTAGTCCACATCTCAATTTCCAAAGGTAGGCAGTGTGTTAACATATTGTATAAGTATTTTTTACCACATGTCTTGAAAGGAGGTAATTCCTAGTTAGCAGGCCTTATGTGTTAGTATTTTAGAAAGTGTTCTGGCTAGAGATTTGATCAGATATCGTACAATTTGGATAAGTTCTGCCATTTAGCGAAACCAAAAACATTAGGAGTGCCTGACTTTATATTAACCAAGAAGGAAATTGTAATTGAGGAAGTAGAAGTAGCAAAAACCTGGCGAAATGTTGGCATTCTTGATTTAATGAAAACTAAACCTGAATAAAATGGAACCAATATTTCTGACTTCAAAAGCAGAGATTTTGAGTATGATGTGTAGAATTCCATGACAAATAGGAAAAGTTGCCTTCAATAGGTGAGCAATAAAATAAGGCCATGCAAAATATTCAAAATGGACACCTCACAAGCTAGTTTAGTACAACTGAACACATCTTGCTGAACATTTAGATATATAATCAGGAAATGTACATGTACATATTACTGAGACATTCTTCCAAGCAACTGTACAAGCCTAAGACTAAAAAGAAAATTGGAAAGAAATGGAGGATAACAAAATGATACTCAGTAAAATGTGCAAGAACATTAATGGAGATTTCAAAGCAATGAGGACGTATTTAAGAGATTGTAAGAAAGCCATCTTTTCAAGGAAGAGTTTACAGGAAGCGAAGATGTGGTGTCAGGAAATTTCTAGCCCAGAAGGAGCTAAGACTGGCAGAGGATGCTATGAACATCAGAAAGATTTCCAAATTATGAACAGATTAAAGTGAATTAGGAGGAAAAACTCAGTATACTAGTTCAGGGATCCCTAACCCTAGGCTATTACCAAGCCGTGTAAGCAGTGGGTGAACCGGCAAAGCTCCATTTATGCAAGTGGCGGGTACAGACGCAAAACCATCCCCTCCCCCTCCCCGCTGCCACCAGTCCACAGAGACGGAAAGAACTGGCTACTTAATGAAGAACTTTAAATAAGTAACACAGGTAACAGAAAGACTCCTTATTTTCAGTTAGTTTAAGGATTTAGATTAAATCTTTAAAGTCAGATGAATTACATCCTAGGATATGAATTGCTAGAGAACCCGAATGGAAGTGCCAATGGGAATAGGAAGTGTGCCATTTCCTTGGCAGCCTAAAATTCAGCAGGCCTTTATCCCTTTAACTTTCTGTAAAACCTTAAAGACCTGATTCTCCCCCCCCCCCAAAAAAAAAGCATTAGGGGATTAGATAAAGATATGTTTGTATGGATTGGAGCCCGGTTTTGTTTTTACTTTTTAAAATATTTTTTATGCTTTGAGTTTGTTTTACCGTTTTAAAAATAATTTTACTGAGGGCCACACAGAGTTATATAAGTGACTATATAAATGTTTAAAACAAACAAGCACATTTGCTAATAACATATGCCACACAACTGGAGAAAGCTGTTTTCTTTATTTTTAGATATGAAAATAATAAGGATCCAGGGACCACAGATCACCTAATCTGGTAATAATACACGGAATAATACTAAAGCAAATTACAAAGATTATAAATATTACAAATCTATAACCATTTTGAAAACAACGGTTATATTACCACAAGCCAGCAAAGATTTTGACAATAACCAGACTTGTTTTGTTGTTGTTGGACAGTTCTTGTTTATATTGTGGGAATGCTCTAGGTTTAAGTATAACTTGATTTCAGCAAAACATCTGACAAAGTACCCCATGATATGCTATAAAAGTAAAGGTTTCTCTTCCCAGTTGTGTCCGACTCAAGGTAGTGGTGCTCATCTTTGTTTCCTAGCTGAGGGAGCCAGCATTGTCTGAAGACACTTCCATGATTATGTGGGTAGCGTGGCTATACGCAAAGGTGCATGGAACACTGTTACCTTCCACTGAAGTGGTACCTATTTATCTACTTGCATTTGCATGCTTTTGAACTGCTACCTTGGCAGGAGCTGGAACAAGAGAGGAACCTCACTCTATCACATGGGGTCTCGAACTGCCAACCTTCCAGTTGATGGCCAGCCTTTTAACCACTAGGCCACCACGACCTATCATATGCTATATGGCATGACAATTAGCTGGACACAACAGTTAGCTAAAAAATCATGCTGAAAGAGTGCTTATATCAGACACGGGAAACCAAGAACAAAATGTATAAACATTCAAAGCAGTTTCTTTATTCCGTGTTCAGGTACAAACAAAATCTTAATAGACTCAAGCATGCTCTGTTAACTGTAAACCAAAAATGCTGAGAAGAAATTAGGGAAGATCCCTCCTGGGCCACTTCCTGAATAGCAACAATTCAAGGCTGCTCATATTTTTCTTTATGTCCCCATCTCACAGCTCAATGCCAGATTCCATCACATCTCGATAGAGATTTCTTATAAATGATCACTGACTTAAATATCACAAAGTTCAGTCTGACTCAACTAAAAATAAGCTTATTAATATTGACAATGAAACAAAACTGGTTAAGATAACTAAATACAGAGAGAAAATTCAAAAGATGTTGATAGAGTAAATAAATGGCTGAGAAAAGAACGAAATTCAAAGAGACAAATGCAATTTTCTTCACCTAGGCTAGGGCAATCAAATCTGAATGTAAATGGGATGGAGGCTATCTAGCTTGGCAACAGTAATTCTTTAAAAAAAACAAAAACAAACCTGGAACAAGCATTACAAACTGAACTTATTGGATATGATAGGACTGCAAAAATGCCAAAGGTAATTTTAGAGTGCAAAACCAGAAACATTGTTTCAAAAAATGAGCTGCAATTGTTTCATTTTGTTCTGTTTGGTCATATGCCAGCAGCAATTGGTGTGTCCTGGTATTGCATTGCATAAAGAATTTAAGCAATCTGGTTTGGAGAAAAGCAACAAGGATGATCTGGAGATTTAAAAACGAAATCCTATGAAGACAAGTAGAAGGATCCTTATCATTCCAGAGTGGATAGCTGCAAACTGGAAACAGTGGTGTCCTAAAATGGCCTAAGACAGGGGTATCAAACTGCTGGCCCATGGGCCGGACGCGTCACGCGGAAGCCACGCCCACCCAATTGCCGGCAATGGCAAAACTGTCCTGATACATTGCGTAACATCACATGACGTCACGAGTTTGACATGTCTGGCCTAAGAGCTTCAAATTATTGATGGTCAACATTGAAATAATGAGTTATTTCAAATATCTGGGGTTGAATTCTTATACAACACTTACATTCTATCTTTTTAAAATATGGCAGGATCTTCTAATAGTTCCTATACTACTTGTATTCTCAAAGGACCAGCTAATATTAGATTCATTGAAAAGATAAACTGAACTTGATATCCTCCCCTTACCACCCCAAAATAGTGCCCACTTGCTTTAGGTTGCTCACCTAGACTTGCCAATTGCCTACTGAAATTCAGGAAATTCCTTCCCACACAAAATTCCTTCCCATACACCCGTCTTCCTAGATGTATGCAGGTATTATTTACCTGACAGAAGGGGTAAACCAAACCAGGATAAGGTTGGAATACAAATATATATTAACTCAATTAAAAATATGAATTAAAACTATTTGCCTGCAATGCAATGTACCCCATTTACAAGGATATTATCTCTCTGCATGCACAATCCTCGAGAAATGTACGCATATACACAAATATAGCCCTTCCTTCCTCTTGCAAAATAAAACAAATAAAAAGTCCAGAATAGCAATTATGGGACAAGACGTTAGGAATCCCACCCAAAACTGTATTGCAGAACCATATTGCTTTCCTCCGCAGGCATACTAATATCCTCCCAAAACTCTGCAGTATTTCCTTTTTTTTTTCTAAACAGAAAGTGAAAGAAACTTCCAGAATTTATCAGTCTGAGGATTCTTTATCATGCCCATTGATGATGTTACCTAGTTTGGATAATGAAACGTCTTAAAGAAAACAAGCAAGCTCAGAGAGCACCAAGGAGCCCTCATGTCAACCCTGAGCTACAAATATTCTCCTTTATTTACCAGTCTGATCCCCCACGAGTTACTTTACCAACCTATACAATAGCATTCACCATCAGAGTTCTAATAAACTTGTGCTTAACGTGCAAATTAAATTTCTTGTAATGTTGATCCGACTGCTTTGCCCTTAGTACTCATTCTTTAGCTCACGCGGCCAATAGCAAGAACTGGTGGGAGAAGAGCAGGCCTTATGGTGGGTAAGCGTACAATCCCATATGAACCACAGATAAAAAAAATGCCCAAATAGGGCTACCCCCCAAAGAAAGCATAGATCGAACAATTATTAGACTTCGTCCAGGCTTGGGTTTTTTATTTTTGAAAAGGAGAACGACAACTTTTTAAAAAACTTTTCGAAAAAGCAATGGAGAAACGGCTTGTCTACCAGGAAGAGGCTGGGTTAGAGTAAAGTTCCCCAAACTTTATAGACTGGCGGTACTGGGAGGTGGGACAAGCGATGATTCCGCACGAGTGGCTGGCAAGCGCACCTGTGCGCGCCGCTTCATTTGCACGAATAGGGTGCATGCACGCCCGCCACTCCTGCAATTGGAGCGCATGTGCACGCGCTCGCCCAAGTTTGGATGTGTCGCGCGCTTGCTGGCCGTTTTCGCAGCCCGGTTGCAAACAGCTTGGGGGCCCCTGGGTTAGAGGGAAGCAGGGGCTCTTAACAACGTCTAGCTAGCAGGCATTCATTCGCCCTTAGCCCTAAAGGTTACCTTTCTAACAGGCTGCCTTGCAAGGACTTGACAGCTACCGGGAGTCGCCAGTCTGCGTGACGCGCGGAGGACACCGTCCCGTAGGCCCCGCGGCTAACGAAGCGCTGGTCCGGTAGCTTGTTGGAAGAGATGATGGGGAGAGTGTAGCTGATGTTGCAAGGCGCACAACTGGTGCTGCTCCCGCGGTCAAGGCCTCCGCCGTTCGTCCTCATGCTGCCGTCAGCGGCCATCGAACTAGGGGAGTTCTCCGAAACGCGTCCCTCGCGAGGGAATTCAGCCAAGGGATCCCAAACGGTGCCCCGCCCGCCGAACGGGCGGGACCTCAGCCTTTCCAGCTACCCTCAACAATCTCGGCCAAGAGGCGCCAGTTCGTCCGCGATTCACTTCTAACTTTTCTTTGCATCACATCCTGCTCTCTTTAACTGGCTCTTCACCAGCGGCTTTCCCGAATCGTCCCGAACTTCAACCTACTTATTTTTTTTACAAACTCCTCATAATACTATTCCCGACCCGTCCTTTCTCGGCTGCCATCTCTTCCGCTCCGAATCCGGCTGGTCTGGGCGAACTTTCCAGGAGCCGCTCCGGCTTTCCTTTTGCAAAACTTTCCCTCCACCTCTTGACGCCTCTTCTCCCACTCCCTCGCCCGGAACAGGTGACAGAACCTCGCGCCACAAAGAGCGTCGGGCTTTCGAGCTTGCGATTCGCAGGACGGCGAGCCAACGCACCCTTCGCCTCTGAGGGGCGGGGAAGAACCTCGAGGCACCGCAGGCCTCAATAGCGATGCAAGATTTCCAAGGTTCAAAAGTCGAACCAGGCCTCCCGGGACTGCTGAGCTTCCGATGGAAGGAGAAAACACGGAGGGCGAGGGACGCTGAAGAAAGCCAGCTGCTGCGACTGGCGATGTCCGCGTCAGTGGCGCCCTAAAATCTTCAAGGCCCCGTCTTCTCGCGGGGACTTAGATACTCCTCCAGCCTCGGAGGGTTAGCCGGAGAGAAACGCGCTCGGGCAGGAAGGCGTTGCCTGGGCTGCCTTCCCAAAACCTCAGACTCCCTGCTACAGTATTCCGGAAGAGCAGAGGCGCACGGACAGGAAAGTCTGGCTAGTGCCTGCCCCTCCCCACTGGGTCATTTGCCTCCTCCTTTGTCGCTGCGGGTTGCGGTTCTCCTCCCCTTAGTTGCTTAAGGCGGAATCGTTCATGAAGACCCGTTGGCCGGCAACTCAGCAGCAGGCTTCGGAGAGGAGAAAGTCGCAATCCCGTAATACAACCTAGTCCTCGACTTAAGGACCACAATTGAGCGCTCAATTTATGCGGCTAAGAGAGACGTTTGTTAAGTGAATTTTGCCCCATTTTACGACGTTTCTTGCCATCGTTGTTCAGTGACTCACTGTAGTTGTCAAGTTAGTAACACGATTGTTAAGTGAATCTGGTTTCCCCATTGACTTTGCTTGTCGGAAAGTCTCAAAAGCTGGTGCTTTTGGATGCCAGGACACTGCAGCTGTCATAAGCATGAACTAGTTGTCAAGTGTCTGAATTTTGATCACGTGGCCATGGGGATGCTGCGCTAGTCGTATGTGTGAAAAACAGTCATAAGTCACTTTTTTCAGTGCTGTTGTAACTTTGAACGGTCACTAAATGAATTGTAAGTTGATGACTACCTCTACTTGTAGGCAAGCAAGAGGAAATATATCTGAAGTCCACAAACTGATTTATTTGGGCTAAAGGTGCTAAAGCTTTAAGCTGCAGTCCTGTCACTTTGTATTTCACTACTTTTACAAGTACTTTTACAAGCTTACATATTTGTGGTTATCTTAAGAAGCGTCACACCCTATTAGGTTGTGTTAAGTGTCAGCTAACCACACACTCTTTAGTCTGTGTTTACATAAACATTAAGAATACTTAACAAGCAAATAATATTTTGTCTTAGATTATTACATGATTCAAGCTTATCCTACCTCAGTGTATAAACCTCAGTGAACGGAAAGTGATCATAGAGTTTAATTAATGCAGAAGAAATAAAATGTCATTTTTAAAAGTATTTTCCACAGACTCTATTCTGGTTCCTTTCTGAGGAAAAGAGGAACCACTCCATATCTACCGAGATCAAAGAATCTAACCTAATTTCCAAATAAGCAGAGAGAGATGTTTTTGGTTCTGCCTTATGTTTAGTTTTAATCATATGGAAGCCAGCGGAGAAGGGTGATTTCCAGAAATCCACCGAATTAGAGTGCTTTTTCAGAGGAAGCAGAAGTTTTGTAAAAAAAAAAAAGCCATACTTTTTGCCACCAAAATCCAATAGAGGAAACCAATATTAACATCAAGAATTACATTTGAAATTAAGAAGCAATTCTCTTTTAATTCTTCCATAATTCCATCAGTCTTGAGAGAGCATGGAGTCTCATCAAAACACTGATGTTACCTAGTTTGGTAATAAAATGTCCTGAAGGATTTTTCTTTCTCTTTCTGTCTTTCTCATCTATTTATCTCCCTCCATCTATTTCCTTCCTTCCTTCCTTCCTTTCTTCCTTCCTTCCTTCCTTTGATTCTCTAAAATTGGACTTGCACTTGACTAACCTTGTTCCCCCCTCCTCACCTTTCTGCTGGCTTCAGAGTTATCCTAATATCTGCTGATTTTCCCTAGTTAGTTTTGATGACTTCATGAGATCTGCATGGAGAACCTTGTTCTGTCTTAATATTCATTTTTTTAAATTTGGCAGTTAATTACTATAATTTATAAAAACAAGACATTATAACATTCTTTCCCTAGAAACAAGTTTTTGAATTTTGAAAGGAGAATAATCGGAATTCCCAAGGAAAGAGCAACTGGTCAGCATTCTTCACATCTGGAAATCAGAAATTATTTCCTTTCATGTATTTGGGAAAATTCCCTGTCAGAGGTCTTCATCAAATTTGGCATTTTCCTAGTTATTTATAATAGCCTTGGATCCTATAAGCAATCTAATCTATGTTGTTTTGTAAAATGATGTACTATTTTCTGTTTTTATGTATTTATTTATTTATTAGATTTAGATTCCACCCATCTCAGTCCTAGAAGAGAACAACCCTAACTGCTGTTTAGAAGGCCAGATCCTGAAGTTGAAACTCAAATAGTCTGGCCACCTAATGAGAAGGAAGGACTCACTGGAGAAGGGCCTAATGCTGGGAAAGATTGAGGGCAATAGAAGAAGGGGACGACAGAGAATGAGATGGCTGGATGGAGTCACTGAAGCAGTAGCTGTGAACTTAAATGGACTCCAGAAGATGGTAGAGGACAGGAAGACCTGGAGGAACGTTGTCCATGGGGTCGTGATGGGTCGGACACGACTTTGCAATTAACAACAACAACAACATCTCACTTTGAAAAATGTCTGGGCTACTTTTTAAGTTTCTAAAGTACAGAGTTAGAAACTGAAGTTCTAGTTCCAGTTAGAAACTGGATGATATAATTGATAAACTAGGTGAATATTTTATTACACATTATATTAATTTAGTATAGGATATTGTATCATGTAACAACTGGAAATATTTCCAAATTCTGTATCTTTCTCCTCTTCAACCTGGTGCCTTCCACGAAACCCAGGCAGTTTATGCAGCTGTTCCATCTTTACTTTCTTCTCTTTATAGTAAAAAAAAAAGTGGAGAAACACCAGAAAACATTTTTCAAGCATTGTCACGAAGGATTGGTGTGGTGTACTGGTGGGAATGGGAGGGGGGGGCATGGGACCACAACTAGAAAGACTAGAAAGAAAAAAACTAGAAAGAAATTTAAAGCACCCCGAGTGTTGAAAAAAAAAAATCAGTGGGTGATTTTGGACCAATAATTGTCTTTTAGCCCAACTGACCCTCTAGAATAAGTTAGGTGGAAGTAGTGCAAATGTGTGTGGAGCCTTCTTGGCTGAAGGTTGGTTTTCTGCCCTGTGTCTCTTCACTGTTGGGGACAGGCATGGGCTGTTGGGGATGAGTCTGTATTATCTGCATCTCGAAGTGCAAGAAGCTTTTTGGATGAGAAGCGAAACGTCTTCAAAGAAAAACAAGAAGTCCAGCTGCCTTCTGAAAAAGCACCTTTGGGTCAACCATGACCTGGATAACTGAGAATCTCCATAGACATTTACCTATGCCCTTTGGGATGAACATCCCTTGAATGGTGCGGGAGTATGAATGGATTTCCAGAAAACATTGTGGACTACAGGAACCACCTGTGCCTGTCTGAGATGCAGACAACACAGACTCGTCCCCAACAGCCTGGCCTATCTTCGGCAATGAGGGGACATCCTGCAGCCAAGAAGGTCCACATGTTTGCACTACTCAGGTGACTCTGAGGATACAGGTAAACCTCCAAGTGCTCTCAATGACTCTATGAAAGAATGCAAATGACCAGCTGTCTGCAAGGAATATAAATCCTTCCATTCCCCATCATCCAGTCAGAGTTGAAGAAGCTTCTTGGATGAGAAATGAAACGTCTTCAAAGAAAAACAAGGAAGTCCAGTTGCTTCCTGAAACAAATGGAAGGAATGTTCTGTACAATCTTCCAACGGAAAGATAGAATAAATAAGTAACAAAGAAATGAATTTGAACCCTTTGTGAAATTCTGTGTTTGAGAAAGGCTATTGTGCAATTAAAGCCTAATCTGGAAACACCCTGAAAGGGGGCACCAAGCAGTGCCTACGAAAGAAAAAAAGTCCTTTGTTGAGGTAATGCATTTGGCCACAGGTTTGGGTCAGCTGTTAAGCAGAAAAAACAGACTTATCTCAGATTGGACACAGAAGTCAGGCCAGGCAGAAATGCTGGGAAATTCCCTTACTCCCCCTCCCTTCTGGCTAAGTTAGTTGTCAACAGGAAGGAGGAAATAGTTCAGTTGCTCTACAGAAGAGCTACAGGAGCAAGCAGAGATTCTGCAAATGCATGGCTTTGGGGAGGAGGGCAGAAGGAGCTCTGTGCAAACTGCAGACCTTTATCGTTAACGATTTTAATTGTATCCTTTTAATACACATTGCTTTGCATGTGTTCAGTTGTCCAGTTGGAGCATTTCATGGAAATTCCCACTGAACGGATCCTGAATGTAGTGAAAATGAAACCAGCAGTTGGGGACGGGGGGGAGAAGGGTGAATTAACAGCACTGAGGAACTGGATTTCATCTAGTTTTTGGTTTGTAGTGTTTTATTACCATTTTTATGTTAAAACTACTATGACACTATTTGTCATAACATTTGACGATTAAACAATTTGAGAAATGAACAGTTGATTTAATTGATTACTTGTCAATCACTCTGAAACAATTGAAGTTTGGGGAGTGTTTGAATTGAAATAAATATAAAGTGTAGACATTTTTTAAAGGTCCAGTGAGTATCGATTGGAACTCTTCCATGATCCCTTTTCTTTTTCTCTAGATTTTCTTTTCCTTGTCCTACTTGCTCTCTACTGCCAGCTGTCATTCCAGGCTTCCTAATCACACCTCATCCTCCTGGAGCTGTTGAACCAGTTTCCCTCCACTCTCTTCTTCTCCGCTCCCTTCCCCTCCCAACCTTTCCCCCTCTCCTCTCCCACAGCCTTTTCTTCTGTGTTTCTGCATATCTCTGGGTTTCCCCTCCTTCTTTCAATACCTCCCTCTTGTTTGCAGTCATTACTTATTTTTAACTGTCCACGCACCTGAAAGTGGAATGTAAATTATTACATGTGCTGTTCATTTTGAAACCTCTTATTAGGAAAAATGTCTGTTTCTCACTTTACCTTTCTCCCTACAGCCAATTAATTTACAAGTAAAATCTGGCTCAGCGGTACAGTCTTGCATTTCATTTGATTTGCTTTAAGATGTCAGAAATCGGCTTGGGCATCTTTGGAGAAAAGAGGGTGCAAATGAGCTGCCTGACCTGGAGAGGTAAGGGAGACCACAATGACGTCACTAAAAGAGGGAGAACCATCCTGCCCCCCAGCCCATATTGGTGGAGCAGATGGGATGCAGATTGGGAGAAAGCAATTCATTGGAGGCAATCCATTCTGAACCCCACCCTTATTACATCGATAAATAAAGTCTGAAATAACAACATTTGAGCTGATTTGGGCTATTTGGGAAATTTTTAAGAATAAGGTGAGAATAGTTTTATTGTCCTTGCCTCCTGTTCCCACACCCCAGAAAGCAAAATGATTGGCAAAATTGGATCAAGAAACAAGATTTGATGTTCATGAGCTTGAGGGAATAAGGGGAATTGGAAGCATCTGGCTCCATGTTACCACCCGTTTTGAAGAAAAACCATCAAATTTAGCTACTAAAATTGTAATATGGTCATGGAAATTAAAAATGGGGTGTGAATAAACAGAAAGTTTTCAGATTTCTGTTGCTAGACTGTTGACTTGTGGATTATGTCTTTGTTATTGAAGGTCCTCTAGCTCAGACATGTCAAACTTGCAACGTCATGTGACGTTGCGTGACGTATCGGAGCTTTTTCCCCATTGCCGGTAATGGGGTGGGCGCAGTTTCCTCATGACACGTCCAGCCCGTGGGCCGGCAGTTTGAAACCACTGCTCTAGCTGTTCCTCAGCATAATAAAATGCTGATTATGGCTTATAAAGAAGAGAATTGTTCTAAAATATTAGATGAGAAACCTTTATTGGCGCTTCACATAATGAGTCCAGACACACAGTTTGGTTGTTAGTCAGTGCATCAGAGGGCAGTTTCATCTGGGTCCTAAGAAAGTGTTTTCACAGAAGACAAAGTAGGTCTTTCTTTAATAGTGGCTCCCACCTGTGCAGGTAGCAAAGTACATAATCATCAGGAATCATGGCTATCGGCATACCTGGCTCTGATAGGATTTGTAATCTCTAGTACCTAAAAGTTACCAGGTTGAAGAAGGTTATTCAATATTATGCTTGCAATAGAAGTGCTTCTTAATACAATAAGTCAGGGAATGTATGTCATGCTGGGAATAATAATAATGACCACAAATAATATTCAGTAATATATTAAAAAATTGCTGAAATAAAATTCACTGTCAGGAAGTTTCTCCTTAGTTCTAGGTTGCTTCTCTCCTTGATTAGTTTCCACCCATTGCTTCTTATCCTGTCTTCAGGTGCTTTGGAAAATAGCTTGATTCCCTCTTCTTTATGGCAACCCCTGAGATATTGGAATACTGCTATCATGTCCCCCCTTGTCCTTCTCTTCGTTAAACTAGACATACCCAATTCTAGCAACCGTTCCTTATATGTTTTAGCCTCCAGTCCCCTAATCATCTTTGTTGCTCTTCTCTGTACTCTTTCTAGAGTCTCAACATCTTTTTTACATCGTGGTGACCAAAACTGGATGCAGTATTCCAAGTGTGGCCTTACCAAGACATTGTAGAGTGGTATTAATACTTCACGTGATCTTGATTCTATCCCTCTGTTAATGCAGCCTAGCACTGTGCTGGACTTTTGGCAACTGCAGCACACTGCTGGCTCATATTTAGGTGATTGTCTACTAGAACCCCGAGGTCCCTCTCACAGTTACTACTATTGAGCATGGTGCCACCTATGCTGTACTTGTGCATTTGTTTTTCTTGCCTAAATGTAGAACCTTGCTTTTTTCACCATTGAATTTCATTTTGTTAGTTAGTGCCCAGTGTTCAAGTCTGTCCAGATCCTTCTGTATCTTAAGCCTGTCTTCTGGAGTGTTGGCTATTCCTGCCAGCTTGGTGTCGTCTGCAAATTTGATGAGTTCCCCATCTTTCCCTTCATCCAAATTGTTGTTGAAGATGTTGAAGAGCACTGGGCCAAGAACAGAGCCCTGGGGCACCCCACTACACACTTCCCTCCATATAGCTGCAGTTCCATTGAGGACCACTCGCTGAGTACGGCCGGTCAGCCAGCTACGGATGCATCTGGTGGTTTTAATTGTTTTCATGACATTAAAGAAAAAAAATGTGAATTTTTTTATTTTAAGAGAATCTCTGCTAAATTATTGCTGTACTTATAAATGTTTAAAATAGAAGAAAAAGAACAAGAAAAAATATCACCCTAAACCAAATTAGATATTATATTGCTGTAGGAGTTCTGTTATGTACTTAAAACATACAATGAAAGCAAGTCTATCAGATTTATCTATTATGCAGGGAGATACTCTCAAAATATCCATTCTAGCGGTGGATAGTTTTTATAGCTTGCTGCTCATGCAGGAGAAAAGGATTAAGAGGAAAGCTACCTTAAACTGGATAGTTTATTTAATAGCAAAAAGACAAAACAAAAATAGACTTTTGAGTTTATGAATAAAAGTTTACAAATCTGCTTAATCTATTTACATGCTATCAGAAAAATACTGTACATCTGTTTGTGGGTCTTTCACTACAGGAATAAGATTATTGGTGAACTTTGCCCGCCTTGGCATCCCAAAATCTGGGACTTCACAGATATGTTGAACTTCAGGTTCTGTAATCTGCCAGTCAGCATTCCATTGGTTACACCAATTCTGTTGGTTATGGAATTATGGGAGATGGTAATAGACTTTGGAAATTACCTGAATGAAGAAACCTTATAGCAATGTATTTTACATATCTTGACTGCCATCTTGTGGTAGTATAGCAGTATGATTTGTTTTCATTGATGACAATCCTCTCTATACATATCTAAAGTAATACATTATAAAATGTCATATTTATTAAAGAATGTGAAACTTAAACAGGATCAATGGGGTGATTATAGCTTGCTTGACTGTCATGAGGAGCTGTTCAGATAAAACTAAAGTTATTGGAGAGGAGATAAGCTAACAAAAGTGTTTAATACATTCTCTTTCTCTTCCTGATAACACCAGGAACAACAATTTAAAAGGAATATTACTAACAGAGGCTGGGCTAGGCTAGGCTAGGCTACATCATAGAACCTCTTCATTCACTGGAACTTAAGATTCCTTCTAGACAATTCCTCAACAATCAAGAAAGTTTTTTAGACTGTATTTATTAACATAAATTGTCTAGATGCTAGTTACAAGTTAGTATGATCCATTCTGGATTCCATTCATATTACACAATAATTGGATATCCATCTCTCACTTGTATTATTTATATATCATGACCTGAACAGGCTGGTATAATACAGACATCTAATGATGTCTCTTTCCTCCCTTTATTCTTTTGTTTGTGTTATGTACAATACTTTTGTTCTATAGTTATCTCAGTTTTTTTAATAACTGAAACCATCACCTCTTGTCCTAGGTGATATTTCTTTTTAGTCAGTTCATTAACTGCATTTAAGTTTGCAGTGGAGAATATGGTTGCATTCTTACATTTGTAAGTAGATTCTATAATAAAAATTGCCCTTATAGCTCTAAAAAATACAATAAAATATTATGAAAGTTGCTGCTTCCTACATCAATCATTCAACCTCTTATTACTTTATTTTCATCTTTTTGATTGTCAAAAACGATGTGCTCACTCTTTTTTAATTTTTTTTTATTTTTTATACAACAAATTTTATACAACAAAAATAAAAATACATTTTTCCCTTAACAGTACTGTGTTATACATCTCATATATATTATTTACAATTATTTACATTAGTAATCATATCTTTTTGTTTCTCTGTTCTAGCCAATCATAACATTTGTTCCATATCTCATAGAATTCTGTTGCCTCCTTGTCTTTTAGTTCTAGTGTAAGTTTGTTCATTTCCGCGCATTCTAGTATTTTATATATAAGCATATCATTTGTAGGCATGTTTTCACCTTTCCAACACTGGGCATTTACTATGCGGGCTGCTGTTAATATATGTACAATGATGTATTGGAGTTGTTTTTCCATCTTTAAATTTATTATACCCAAAAGAAATAGCTAAGGTTTGAGTTCAATTTTCACCTTTGTTATCTCCTGTATCCAGTTCCTTATCCGTTCCTAATAGATCTTTGCTTTAGGGCACAGCCACCACATATGATAGAATGTTCTCTCCTTATTTTTGCATTTCCAGCATTCCGGATTCATATTTTTGTACATTTTAGCTCAATCTCATTAGCACATTCCATTTATTTAGGGTTGAAATTAGCATGTTTACATGGAGAGCAACTTATGTGTACAGGTAGTCCTTGACTTATGACCACAATTGAGCCCAAAATTTCTGTTGCTAAATGAGATAGTTGTTAAGTGAGTTTTGCCCCATTTTACAAACTTTCTTGCCACTGTTGTTAAGTGAATCACTGCAGTTGTTAAGTTAGTGACATGATTGTTAAGTGAATCTGGCTTCCCAATTGACTTTGCTTATTAGAAGGTTACAAAGGGTGATCACATGATCTTGGGACATAAATATGAGTCATAAATATGAGTCAGGTGCCAAGCATCTGAATTTTTATCACGTGACCATGGGGATGCTGTAACGGTCATAAGTGTAAAACACAGAAGTCACTTTTTTCAATGCCATTGTAAACGTTCAACGGTCACTAAATGAACTGTTGTAAGTTGAGGACTACCTGTATTTTGGAAGTCCCAAATTACAATAGCAAAATGGCAGTTTTTAGAAATATTATATTTGCCTTTTTATTTGGTGGAATGAGCAATATCCTAAAATAGGTGTATTAAAACCTTTTAAGATGTTTAATACATTTACTTTATTCCCCCAAGTAGCATTGCCAAATTTAAACAAAAGTATAAAAAGTTTTATTAAAGCTAAATGCTATTCTATTACAGTTAAAATGAAATTACAAACTTTTGGAGAATTTTCAGGGAACTGAAGCTGGCACTCTGCCTAGCCACTTGATGTCACTGTTGCGACAAATTCTCTGATCTTCTAAAAATAAATAGGAGAAAATTATCTCTCATTTATAATGACACTTGTATTAATAAGAATTTGAATGAAACATTCTCAGCTAGTCTTATCTCTGTATGTAACCATTTTAAGAATAAATTGGCCCTATTTGAAGCAATTCTCATCCCATCTTAGCTTTTGAAAATGATTCAAGCGCTTGTGGAACATAGCAGTGCTTAGGTTTTATTTTCTTAAATGTTTTGGAAATGTCAGATTTTGTTGGAAAAATGTTCATGGAGCTACTTGACAGAACTTTACTTTTGGGGGTGCTACAAAATCCTTGTATAGATCCAACTGAGTAAAACTTCAGAACTGATTGATATGTGACATTAAGTCATTCCTAGCAACCACATAGATTGTGGTCTATCAGAATAGTCAGAATTCAGTAGTTAGAATTCATTTTTCAGAGTAATTACATTCAAATATCATTTTCTTAATAGCTCTACAAAGTTATTCAAGTTGCTCAAACAATAAGGGAGGAGGAGATCAGCTCTACCTTCTCCATTGACAAACATCTTACCCACTATGCTTCGCTGTGCAGATCCTTCACCACTTTTGGAAAGTCCAAGTGCATTTAGCATGTGAAAATGTTCCCTGATCAAAACTGTGCAGCAAAGTCTCCCTTGCAAACAGTTACTTCAAACTTGTAGATGGGAACTGGGGGTGGTAGTGGCCAAATAGGGCTAAGGAAAGTTCCCATCTCTGTTTCTACTCATTACATCACTAATTTGAATGCCAGCATTTGCTTAAAACAATTCAGTTTAAAATAAAATTTTATCTCAAAGTTGATTACAATGTATCTAAATCAAAAATGGTCAGCTGACAGCCTATGAGTCATATGTGCCCTCCCCCTGGACACCTCTGAATTGTTAATATTTGGCTGGGAATTATAGACCAATATACTTGGAAGGGTGTGATAGCTCAGCAGTTAAAGGTGCTGAGCTTGTCAGCTGAGAGTTGACAGTCTGGTATTGAGACTCCAGTGCCATGCAACAGGATGAGCTCCTGTTACTTGTCCTAAGTCCTGCCCAGCTAACAGTTCAAAAGCATGCAAATCTGAATAGATTAATAGATACCACTTCGATAGGAAGGTAACAGCATTCTGTGTGCCTTTTGCGTATAGCCATGCTGGCCACATGACCATGGAAAATGTCTTTGGACAATGCTGGCTCCCGTGGTGAAGAAATGGAGATGAGCATTCTAGAGTCAATGTGACCGGACAGGGAAACCTTTATGGAAGGAAAAGGTTACAAAAGGCTGCCTTGGAAAACAATAGAAGATTAGAATTATTTGTTTATTTATTTATTTGTTTAACAATAGAAGATTAGAATTATTTGTTTATTTATTTATTTAGCATATGGCTTACAAGGAGGCTACAATGTTATGCACACAGTAGAAGTCTTGGCACCTGACAGTTGCTAGTCTGTTTGTTGCACCGGTGCACCACAAAAGGACACACTAGCTTAACACCGGCTGGCCTGCAGTATCCTTAGAAGAAGTCAGCTCATCCGGGACTTTCCTCCACCACTCCTCTGCCAATCATGGCCAGGCAGATCCAG